AATGTACCACTCTGCCGGGAACATTTTTTTAATTTTTTTTTATTACAAAAGCAGTATGCATTTGCCAAAAAAAAAAAAAAATCAGAAAGTACAGCAAGCCAAAAAAAAAGAAAAGCAAAGCACATTTCCTCCCCCGCAGAGGCACCCAGCGTGGACACCTGCACAACTCCTCAGCCGCGGCCATCCGCCCAAGGTCTGCTCCAGGTGCTACTCAAGGGGCCCCGCCCTGTCAGCCTTACTGGAAATAGGTGTTTGGAATGAGGCCTCCAGATTCCTCCGTGGTCTCCAAACAACTCCTCAGGTGGATTTGCCCAGGTTTTGAACCCTTGATCAACAACTTAGTGCAGATCCTGACCTATCAGGGAACGCACAACTAACCCCTCGTGGGTCACAGGGGACAAGCGCTGTCGAGTGGAAGGGCCATAAGAGTGATTCCTAACATACTTGGGATTGCCACATTCGGTCATCGTCGGATTTTGCAACCCTCCTTCCCCTTCAAAAAGAACTCGAGGACTCTGCAGAGCATTTGCATGTCCCGTTCGGTAATTTTCCACACAAGCAGCTGAAGGAATTAATTTGGCTTTAAGACTGCCATGACCCTCCCCACCCCCACCCCTTGAATAATTGCTGACAATCAAGCCAAGATGCCCTCCGTTGGGTAGGGAACGCCAGCTCTCAGGAGCTGTGCGGGCAGGTTCTGCCACGAGGGAGGCCACACCGGGCCTGGGAGTCCAACTCCCAGGGCGGGATGTATCTGGGACATTTACACTCGCGCGCGCACGCGCACACTCAACAGCAGGTTTCCAAGGCCCACCCTGCCCACACCCACTTCTGCCAGAGTCCCTCCTCCTGGGGAGAAGAGCAGCAGGAGGGGCCTATCTCTGCTGGCACCTGGCCGCCCTGGGTCCACACCCTCAGCGCAGCCCTTGGGCAGAACATGTTCCTAGAGTTAATGTGCAAGTCAAACCACCCCTGGTTTCTTCAGACGCCGTGATGGCTTATCACAGCCCAGACCCAGGGCCTCAGTTCCTGCTGCCAAGCTCTGGCTAGAGCTGGTGTCATTGCTCTTCAGTGGGTTCAGTCTCTCCTGAAACACGAAAGATAATTGAGGACCCAACTGTTTTCTATAGATGGCTCTTCTCCTTGACAGTAACTATAGCTCTTGTTTCTCAAGCTCCTTCAGTGCCAGGCCTTTGACAAGCAATGCACACAAGTCTTTTGAGGTGGACACAATCATCCCATTTCGCAGATTAAGAAAACTGAGCCCCACCCCCCCACAACTGCTAACAGAGACAGGAGTCAACCCAGACCTGACTGACCCCAAAGCTCAGGCACTGCCCCGGGAGGTCAGTGCAGAAGGGAGCCAAGAGACCACATAATGCTCCCCTATTCCATCTACAAGAGAGCAAAGCTGAAAATTTTATTTACAGACTGTGATATAGCACTTCCTATGTGCCAGGCACTATCCTAACACTTGCCATACACATATCAACCCCACTCACCCTCATCATGCCGCCACCATGAGACGTGCACTCATGTGGACAGAGAGGAGTGAACCTTCGAGAGGCCGCGCAGCACGTGGTGCAACCGGGGCATTAACCCGGCTCTAGAGCCTACACCGCCTCTCTGACCCCAGGAGCAGAGGCCCCCTTTCCTTATTTTTCATCCTTTGAGCTCCCCACGTCACCACCCTCCTCGCGTCTCTGAGAGTCCACTTCAGACTTCCTCATCGTCTGCAGAGCTGGTGTCCGCTTGTGCAACTGTTTTGTGAAACCCCCTGTTGTGCAAGGCCACATTCGCTTAGATCACTCTCTAGACCCCCCTCAAAGCGCTTAGCGTCTGAACAGTTCATTGAAGCCACGGCCTGGAGTTGCTTTTGTAGAAATCCATCAATCAATTGACTAATTACTCGGCTTACTGACAGCAGTGTTCATCCCCAGCCCTGTGCCGGGCACTATGAACACAAAAGATATGGCCCCAGCCTCCAGGAAAGACAACTGGAAACAGGCTATAAAAGAGTGTGCATTGTGTGCTGGGTCTGTGTACAGCTAGCTGTATTTCAAAAGATACATAGGAAAGAAGAGTCAGAAAAGTTGCTACGGAGGAGGTGGAATTTGAAATAGAATTTGAAAGCAGAGGCAGGCTTTGGCTAGCAGGAAGGAATAAAGCAGTCCAGACAAGAGGAATAAACAGAAATGTTTTTCTGCATCCAAATTGACCAAATCATCAGAAATAAACTAGAGAGAGAAGAAAAAAATTTCTGCCAACTTTTGCTATTTCCATCAGCGTTAACAAAGAAAATCTCTCCCTCCAACCTGCACCACCAAGATGCTGCTTCTAGAACTGGGGCATGGAGGGGGTCGCTCTGCCTCACATGTCCACTAGAGGGCAGAGCTGCTGCTCGTGACTTTACCTCCAAGTACAATCAGAGAGGAAGGTGCTAGGATTCCCCACCCCTCCTTAAATCAGCCAGCCGAAATGGCCAGAGCCATCCAAGGGAACCAGTCTTCTCAATCTGAGCTGCCTCCATATTCAGCCTAAAAATTAGTGAAGAAATATAAACTGTAAGAGGAAGTTAAGTGAGGCCAAAAGGGAAGGCAGATACAATAGAAGCATTCCCCCAAAAGATCTAACCTCTACGTACCATGGGGAAAAAACCTTCCAAAGAGCAGAAAAAGGATTTCCATGGCTTGGAAACTCCTCATGCTTTCTACCGTTATCTTGGATGACAAAAGCTTAATGCAGGACTTGAGTAACTATGAAAAGTGATCAGCAACTTTCTAACACTGGTTTCAGGACAGCCGACTGAGGCTCTCTGGATAAAGGTGGCCATTCCAGGCACTACAAGGAGAAATGCTTGTGGCTTTGGGAGTAGACACCTCCTTGCCGTCATCCCAAGCCCAGGTTTCATGCTGTGGGCTGTGCAGGGCAGCAAGTGCCTAAACGAGCCCTCTAATGAGTACTTATGTTCACTACACACCCCAGCAGCTCAGCCAGGCAGTAGGGTCCTGAAGCCACAGAAGGAAGAAGTTAGAAGCAGCTAGGTGAGGGAGAAGTGACACTAGTTTGAAGTCAGAAACCCTGGCTGTCCTGGGAGCACACCTGTGCTTTTCCCTTCCCCCTCTCCTTCCCTCACAGGTGTGCATCTCCTTCAACTCTAAGGTACCCCAGGAAACTTACAGCCAGGGAAACAATGGGCAGCAGCAGCTGCCCCCACCCCAGGCTAAACCCCTAAATCTGTCTCCAAGGCCCCCTTTCCCCTGACTTTCCAGTGAGCCAAGGCAACCCTGCCTAGGCTCTCTCCTGTTGATTCTTCTATCCTAAACCCTTCCTTGCTTCAGCTTTAATAAACATGCTCAAAATCAAAAAGCAGGAGAAAAAGAAAAGGAAAAGGAAGGAAAGGAGAGAGAGGAGAAGAGAAGAGAAGAGAAGAGAAGAGAAGAGAAGAGAAGAGAAGAGAAGAGAAGAGAAGAGAAGAGAAGAGAAGAGAAGAGAAGGGAGGGGGAGGGGGAGGGGAGGGGGAGGGGAGGGGGAGGGGAGGGGAGGGGAGGGAGGGGAGGGGAGGGAGGGGAGGGGAGGGGAGGGGAGAGACTGTAGCTTTTATCTGTCTTTTTAGCTGTGCAAGTTTGGATGGGTGAACCAACTTCTCTGATCCTTATATTCCCCTTTTGTGAAAATAGAAAGGCTGAATTAGAGAATAATCTCTGATGGGTGAATCAGCCCCCAAATTCTGAAAAACACGCATTCCCTTTGGCCAAAAGAACTGGGGTCCGGACTTTACAGGAAGGGGGGCGCCCCACTGAGCAGCTTGAAGAGTTAACCCCAAGCCCGAAGCCAGCTCCCCAGCGCACGCACTCTCTGGCCACTGCGGCACTTCCCGCCCCACCCCCACACTCAGGCCGCGAGGCAAACACCCACGGCTCCTCCAGACACTTCTGGATTCCTCCCTGGAATGCTTATTGCCCTTTACACCTGCAAATCGCTTTACATCAGCAACCTTGCTGCACGATTATTAATCATCACGATATTCCTTCTTCCGCCTGTAAAAGGAATTGCGGGGGTCCAGATTTATGAAGGTGAAATCCGAAGGTAATTTGCCTGTGATTGATTCAATAATCAGTTAACTAAAGTCAATTAAGCGCCTAATATGAGCAAGGCACAGAGACACAAATCCGGTTACTATGAGGTCAGAATTGTAGGTAGGGGTCCTCAAAGAACTTTACTGACATTCCACTTCTGTCGTGGGGGAGGGGGCGTAGTTAGAAGATGACAGACGATCCCCCCCCTCACGAACCTGACGGCACTGTTGCAATTACTAAGGTCCCACCCCCATTTTACCAGGCCCTTTAGAGGGAAACGACCTTTCCAAGGTCACTTATCTCAAGGGGCAAGAGTGATCCCCAAACCTCGGTCTTCGAAGCGTTTCACTGAGTCATGGGCGAGAACCTTAAGTTGAAACCTATAAAATTCACAAAGACTTAGGCATCGGATAGCTGTTTCCATGACTTCTGGGCTCAGAGTGAGAAAATCACGACCCCAGCTCACCCACCCGGAACAGACGAGACGACCCCAAATCCTGACTGCATCCTCAACGATCAAGGAATATTCGAGACTTCAGAGGTCATCCACTAATCACCCACGTCCTCTCTCAGGGTCCCTGAGTGACCCCACCCGTCACCCCCGCTGGGTCTCCGGGAAGGGGAGGAGGGCACGTGGAACACAGCCAACGTCAGCACACCCCGGAGGCGTGGCCGGGGGCGGGGGCGGGGCGAGGCCGGAGTCCGGCTCCCAGCCTCCACCCGGCAGGCGGCGTGGTGACTGCGCCAAATATGGGCAGGGCGGAAGCGGCTGGTAGACGTCACGGCGCCGGGTGGGGCAGCGCTGCGGGGCGGGTGATGGGTGGTGCTGACGGCGCCTACGTGTCACCACGGAAACCAAACAGTAAATAGAGGACTCGAGAGCTCCTGGCGCAGCCTGACCTGGCGACCTGTCCTGGAGCAAAGGGCCCGATGCTGGGAAGGGCCAGGAGAAACCTGGGCCTGGCAGACTTGGGTGCTGACGGGCTGGGGGAGGGGACGCTGGAGAAGCACACTCTCTGGGAGGTCCCAGCTCTTGCTCAACCCAGGAGCCAGCAGGGACCGGTCAGGAATAGAAAGGAGCGCTTCTGCATTGAAAGCCTGTCTGTCCTTTCTTGAAGGGCTGCCATTGACCTCTAAGGTTGGAGATATTGGTTCTGCTTTGTGTTTTCTTACTAGTGGCTAAGAATTCAGGCATCGGAGCCACAGTGCCCGGACCTTAAATTCTAGCTCCGCCACTTCCGTTGGATGATCTTGCGCAGATCACAATCCTTCTGTGCTCCCAGACTATTTTGTCTATAAAAGAAGAGCAGGTCTTGCCTGCTAGTGTTAGTTTAATGAACTAATATAGATGTGTAGATGTGTGTGTGTAACAGTGTCTGGCAGATTGTGAGCCAAAATTAGTGCTAGTTATTTCTTTTTTTAGCCCTAAGCAGCACAGCGGCAGCTTACCTAGTACTAGGCAGCTACTGAACTGTACTACTGATGTTTTGTTTTCTTCATTTTTTAGTTTTAAAGTATTTCCATTTGTAAACTTAATGCTAAAGGTTAGTAAAATATTTCACGTGTTAACTGAAATGGGCTCTCAACAAATAAAAACATTGCTTGTCTCAGTTTGCACTGCTTCATGGTTTTAAATTTTAAACCAGAAACTCCAAATGGTATAAAGAAGAACAACTGAAGTAATTGGACCTCAATTTCTTTGCCTTGACAGTCACTGTGTGATCGTTACTTCAGATCTACTGTTTACACGCGGAACTGTGAGCCGCCAGAGTCAGAGACTCCACACCAGTGATTCTGAACCATCAGAGACTTTTAAAGTGAAGGTATATAGCGGAGCCCATGACGGGGGACCAACTGTTAGTGTAACTGGAGTTACTTCCATGTAGGATGCAATGTTTTAAATGATAAGTAATCTTTGAAATGAAATTTACATATACACTATGAAAATTCAACGGTAATCCCAGCCACTGTTCAGAATTTGTAACAAGATTTTTTTCAGGAAGAAGTATTTTGTCACCAACAATGTCTAGAATTTCCAGTTTAATGGTGTTTTACTGCTACTTTTAAACTCTCAGCAGGTGTTATGACCTCTTGTGGCTGACAGACCCTAGAGTGACCCCAATAATTCTTGCCTCCTGGTGTCCATGCCTTTGCGTAGTTCCATCCCCCTGAGTCCAAGTGAAACCTGCAAGACTTACTTCTGAGCAATGGGACACAGCCAAGGTGATGCGATTTCACTTCTGTGATTATGTTGTTGTGTGTGTGTGTGTCCTTCTGTCTTGCTAGCACACACTAGTGGATTCTCCTGGTAGCCTTCACCAAGCGAGCAGCCATGTTGAAGAAGCAGCCTGTAGGACTTAAGGGCAGCCTCCAGCCAACAGCCAGCAAACAGGCAGGCCCTTAGTTACACAGTCCCAGGGAAATAAAGTCTGCCAACAACCTGGACGAGCTCAGAAGCAGACCCTTCCCCATTCACGCGTCCAGGTGAGAACACAGCTTGGCTGGCACCTTGACTGCAGCCTTGGGAGACCTTGAAGAGAGGATTGAGCTGAATTGTGCCTGGACTCAGACCCAGAGAGACTGTGAGACAATAAATGTGTGTTGCTTGAAGCTGCTAAGTGTGTGGTAATTTGTTACCCAGAAATACAACACTAATCTATCCTCTTTGTCTGCTCCTGGGCTGGACTTCTCCGACCTCCTGTGCTTGGTCTACCGCCGCAGTGCCGCCTACACTGCTCAGCCTTCTACCATAAGTGACGATGTGTCTCCACTTGCGTCTCCTGATGTTGTCAGAGTTTCAGAGCTGGAAAGGGAGTTCTGAGATTTTTGAAACCCACTCCGGATCTGGTAGAGGAAACAGTCTCAGGTTAGAGTCTTACCCTAGGTTGCAAATGTACATAGTTAGGGGCAGATTTTAACATTTTAGCAGAGCAGTAAAGCACGTTGAACTTTAAAGCTGCAAAGAGCTGATTTTTCAAATCTCAGATCTGCTATTTTTCCATTGTGTGAACTTGGTTAACTCATTTAACCTTTCCTAGGTCATTTTATTACCTGTAAAATGAGGATCCTAATATCTGCCTCATGGGATCATTGTGAGGGCTAAATGAGAGCATCCATTCAACAAAAATTGTTGTACGCCCATTATGTGCCAGGTGCCAGAGGAGAAATGGTCAGCAAAGAGACTGTGGTCCCTGGCTCAGCACTGCCTGTGAAGTGCACAGCACCGTTCGGCACAGAGCAAGCGCATGTAAAATGTTAGCCATGGTCAATGTTATATCCTAGAGCTCCAGGTTCCATCCTAACCACACGCCTCCAGACAAGCTCTATAAATTTACATCATAGAACCTCCATCATGTAATTCCACCAGCCTACATCTCCCCTCCCCGAAATTCCACAGGCATCGAAAACTTGACCTGTCCAACCCAGAACTTAGCATCCCCCAAACCTGCTCTTCTTCCTATAGTCCCAAAGTCATTGGTAGAGCCCCAGGCTTCTTTGTGTGTCAGGTCTGGTCAACCTGGGAGTGAGCTTGGACTCCCTCCCTCACCTCCCACATCCACTCAATCACCAGGTGCAGACAGTTGTACCCGCTAACCACCTCTCGTTCCCTCTACGCTCCCACCACCACTGCCTTGGTTCAGCCTACACACAACCGAACTAAATAAATCCCAGGCTTTTATTAATCTGACCACAGTTATCTCTTTTCAACCTATCTCCAGCCCCCTCCACTTTGATGTTGTGATACTGATGCAAATGAAATCAAATGTACCTATGGAATGCTCTTTAATTTACAGCTCCCATCCTCTCCTCCCCCAGCCCCACATTTTACAGTCCAGGAAAACTGAGTGCACTGGTTTATGAGTCTGTGTCTTTACACTGCTATTCCTCTGCCTCCTGGAATTCCTCCACCTCTCACTTGCTCATCTTCACTTTATCCTCATCTGCTTCCCTTCGGCCACCCGTGAAGCCCAGCTTAGAGGTCTCCTATTAGAGACCCCCCCAGGCAGAGTTCATCACTTCCTCCTTCGTGCAAACCTGCACCTCGCATCAGTTTTCATCGTTACAGTGTGTTGTAGCGGGTATGTGTGTGTGACTTCCCCCCTCACTGGACCATGAACTCTTTGAGGACAGGGCTTTGTCTTCCCCGAGTCTGAATCCAGCACCTGATATATAGTGGGCACCACAAACATTTTGTTGAGTGAAATGAAGCCCATCCTTGTTCCAAAGGGTATATATTTTCTCCCCTGAAACCTCCACCTCCCTAAATTATAAGGATATTACCTAATAGCTAATACTTTTATAATACTTCTGTGCGCCCAGGCACTGTAATTAACACTCTATACACGCTAACCTATTTCGAGCTCACAACAATGCCAAGAGGTGGGTACAATTATTATCCCTTTACAGATGGGGAAACTACAGTTGCCCCAAATCAAGAAGCCAAGATCCCAAGCTGGTCTGCGTTCTGAGTTAGTCTGCTATATTGGATCCAATTCCTCAAATCCAGACTAACTAATCACATTGTTTTGATAGGTTTAGCTGTGATGACAGTTTCACGACTGATTAAAAAGACCGAAGATGAATCATTGTTTCTGCAGACCTGACCACAAATTGCTCCCCGATGTAAATATGGCCGCAACTGAGGCCTGTGCCATCTACCCTCTATGATGAAGGTGATGCTTTTGCCTCCACACCCTTGAACAGCCTCCTTTCCTATGGGTCTTCTCCCAATGCAAGCAATGGTCAAGCCCCTCCGGGTTCTTATCCTAATCAACTGATTTAACCACACCCAAGCACCAAGCCGGTGTAAGTTAAAAGTATAAAAAGGCTTATTATTTAACAATAGATGGCCATTGGGCCAGGAAGCGTCCTTGGAACAGGGGCCAGAGCCTTTTTTGCTCTTTGGCCTTTTGGGCAGCTGAACAATGCTTCTTGGGGAAAAAAAAAGGCAACTGAGTTTAGTCCATGAGTGGGTGTGTGGAACCATTGAAATGAATTGCATTGCAACAAAGCTTCTGTGGCTTTTTCCTTTGTGCAAAGGAAGTGGAAATCTGTCCAGCTAGCACCCTTCAGGGATTTTGAACTGACTCATTGGGAGTCAATACACCTCATACCCCACCTGCTTCTCTTCAGGTCTGGGCATATTCTTGGAAAGTGATGATTATGACGGTAATGACATTGATATCGATAATGGCGGTGATAGCAGCTAACCCTGTTCTAACGCACACTAAATTTTAAGTTGTATCATTTCACACGTCACTTGCTAAGAATCAATGAATTCGAATGGAATTCAGTGACTCACTGAAACTTGCATATCAGTAAAAGTGGAAAACATAGTTGTGTTCATTTTTTTGAAGATGAATATACCTATACTTACATATGCCTCCATTCTTCAGTTGAAATACCTTTAAAAAATAAAAGAAAACATAAATTAAGTGTTGCAGATACGGTATGGGCTGTGAAAAAACAAAGCAGGATAATGGAATAAGAGTCATGGAGATTTTTTTTATTTTATTTTTTTAAAGATCTTATTTCTTTATTTTTAGAGAGGGAAGGGAGGGGGAGAGAGAGAGAGAGAAACATCAATGTGCAGTTGCTGGGGGTCATGGCCTGCAACCCAGACACGTACCCTGACTGGGAATCAAACCTGCGACACTTTGGTTCGCAGCCCGAGCTCAATCCACTGAGCTATGCCAGCCAGGGCGAGTCATGGAGATTCTTAATGTATGTGCTGAAGTAGTTACTCTAGAGAGAGTGGCTGGGGAAGCCCTCTTGGAAGGGATGTCCTTTGAGCTGACTCCTGAGTGACTGGAAGGAGCCAACTCCAGCAAAAAAGGCCCAGGCAGAGGGACAGCAAGTGCAAAGGCCCTACGACAGCAGCCAGTGCACTGTGTACGTGTCCGGAAGGGGAGGAAGGCCGTGAGCGGAGTGCCTGTGGGAGAGAAGGACAGGACATGGAGTCGGAGACGAGGCCGGAGTCGGCTCCTTAATGTGTAGAGCCAAACGGCCCAGCAAGAAGCGCCCGGACATTCAGCACTCCAGTGATGCTTGTGTCTCCTTTACATTGTGAGAAATCTGATTATTCTCTGCTTGGATGAAATCTCATATGCAGTTAAAGATTGATTTGCGGGGGGGTTAGATTTATTCTTATTTGAAAAACATTGAAACCTCAGATGGTTTCCTTAGAGGAATCATCTGAAAACGTTTACATTGCCTCGGTCTCTTCTTTGTCCATTAATTAAAGATAGCCTATTTGATTGACTTTTACTCACACATGGAAATTTGCTATTGATACAAAATTACTGTTATTAAGACCAGTTGTTAAATGCTGCCCTTTAATTTTGATAATTACACAAGGAAGATGCAGAGATATGTAAAGGCAATGTAGACGCTACAATCCACTCTTATATAGAGATAAATATTTTGTTTCTTCTCTCCTTTTTCCATCTAAAATTAATTTGGAGCTGGAAACACCTTGGCTATGCATTCACTTTGAAATTGAGTTGGCAGAAGTGACCCAGGGGAGGCAGTTAAGGAATTCCAGGAGCCAAGATGGAAATGGGATATGTGTTTGGAGCCAGACATAATATCATAATTGGGCTTAATTCATAACAAGGCCTGGAATAGGAGAATTTAGAGACTATGTGAGGAATACATTTCTGTTTATGGAAATGGGACAGAATTTATGTGTTCGTCCACCTGGCAGATACTCATAAGTCCTGTACTTGGTGCCCGTCCCTGAGACAAGGCTGGGGATCCAACAGTGAGCTAAACTTGACATTCTCCCAGTAAGGAATTGACCCTTTCCGATCCTCATTTCCATCCCCTGCTGTTATATGTATCTCTTTTGTACCAGTGTTGAACGATAGTGCCCTGAGATAGCTGTTTTGCAAAACCAGTATAAGGTCATACCGTGTGGGTGGGGAGCAGAGTCTTTCTCAAAAGGAAACTGATATTCTCAGGGTCCATCGTCCATGGAACTTGCAGACTCGGGAGTCAGGAAAGGAGGATTTGGAAGGAGCCCGTTAGCTGAAGAGGGAATCCTTTTCTCCTCTGGATCCCATGAGGATGACTGGCAGGGAGCTTGGTGGACTGTTGCCTTGTGGGGGACCCTGTAGCAGGCCCCTAAGGTGCCTATGACAGAGCTTTCCTGTCGCAGGTCCCCTCCCTGGATTTCCATGCAGTCCTGTTGGTGCAGCAGCCTGCTCTCAGCCAGGCTGCAGTTACCAGAGGAAGGGTCTGTGTTCAGGCCTAGGCCAGGGCTGTCACATGGGGAGCAATGGCCTCTCTCAATAGCCAGCATGGGGCTTACAGAGGTCAGGTCCCCAGGAGCGGTTCAGTGTCCACGCTAGAGGTCTAGCCTCCCTTTCATCCATCTGGGAAGCTTCCATGGGTTGCTATTACTGCACATGTAAGGGAGCCAGCTGGCTTCTTCACAGGGTAAACCACTTTGTTGTTTCAGATCTGGGTGTTAGTTATAGTATAGCATTTCCATATTTAGTTTAGGTCATATTGAAAGGCTACAGAAAATTTACCCTCTGAAGAGCAAACAGGGAGTCTAATGCCACTTTCATG